AAAGTCTTGGCTTCTTTTACTGCATCAACTCATGTCACGCTCCCTCTTCCTCTTTTCCTACTATCTTCCACTTTACCCAGCATGACTGCCCTTTCCGGTAAGTCTCGTCTCCTCGAAATAGCTGAAATCCAATAGAGTACGTCACAACTAGTCAACTCCTCCAAAAGTTCCACGGAATCCATGGGCCTACTCCGCTTGCAACTTGCCACTGGGTTTCAGCCTATTGTCTCCATTCAATGCAGTGGAGCGTTCAGCCTTGACTTGATCTTATTCTTTATGTGCTGTCCAGTTGCCTCTGAGTGACGGCAAGCCTATGAATGAGTTTGGCCACTTTGGAAGCACTGGTGGGTTACTTCTGAAACGGACAGAGGAGGAGGAGGAGGAGGAAGGAGGAGCGGCTTCCAGAATGTCTCGTCATTAAAAGCCCTGCTCAACTGACAGCTATGGCTTCCTTTGTCTTGACCTGGCACCCCTAAAGTTGTTGTCTTTCCAGCGATCCTGTGGTGTCTCTTAGCGCTGCCCAATCACTTCTCTTTACATTTAAGCTTCAGGTCACAACCACCCATTGGTCTGTGGTGTTGCTCTTTTTCAGTGTGTGCATCCTCCCGTATCCCATGCTTAATCTGGGAAAGAATATTAACTCTACGACCAGACCCACTGGCTTACTGGGATTGTGCAGGAAAGGGTTTGAGGGTTGGTCCAGAATCCGACATGTTCATTCGGCATAACTGCGAAAAACTGCTATGCGGAAGGTCTTTTCCACGGGATGAATGTTATCGTAGAGGAGTCCCCCTGAGCTGATGGAGAGCGAGGTGAACAAAAGGAAGGAAGGAAGGAAAAAGAGAAGCCACTTGCAAAAGGCAAACTAACCCAACCCTCTTGGGAAAATAACACCATGGCAGATGTTTAACTAATACAATAATTAGATTAACATATTTTGCCAGCACAGACAAGTGGCGTTTGAAACACTGGAAGTACTTGTTTCACATGAGCAATTGGGCAACTGCCGTTGTCTGCCTTCACCCAGAATGTTTGCTTAAGGCTGGGTTGAGCACCTGAACGCTGAGCGCGGTGGAAGAGAAAAGCACCGAGAGGGAAGAGGGCCACGCAGCGCAGACTCCGAATTCAAGCATCCTTCGTTTGCTCTGCTCTTGTTTCAGCATCCTTGGCTTCCATCGTTCTGAAACCCAGTCTGGGGAACCAAGGAGCTCTGCTCTGAAGTTTGTTCATGTTTGCATGGCGATTTCTTGTTTGCTGTCCAAACAACAAGTCGTATATCTCCCCTTGCATGGGAAGTGCGAGTTCAAATCCTCACAGCTATGAAACATGTGGCAGAGCCATCTCTCCCCTTAGCCTGCTTTACAGGGGGCGGGTGTTTGGGTCATACTGAACAACTTTCATTGAAAATGGTGCGAGAGAAGGGGGATTTGAGACACTTGCTGACAAAAAGGAACACCTTTCTATTCCTCATGCTGGACGCTCGTGCTTTTAAATAATCATCCCTGTGCCAAAATGAAGCTATTTGAATGGGAAGCCGCGGTTAAATGTTCTACGTGTGCAGCTTTCCTCTCTGACAAAGGATCTTAAAAGCACACTTATGGTTACTAGGCAATTTCCTGTCATTAAACAGGGTCGCATCACTTCATCTTCCGAATTAGCACAGTATTTTCCACCTAGTACTGCCACTGGAATAGACGGCCCCTGATCCTTCGCCACAGGCAGAAAATGTCAAGGGCCAGATCTGTCACTAACTGGCTAGAACCAAACCTCGGTTGATTGAGGTGGCTGCAGGATGGATCCCTCAAGGTGTGGCTTGGGGATTTTAAGACAGACACACACACACTCATCTCATGTATTATAGAGTGCCTGCCGCAATGGCAACAGAAAAAGTTGGGCACCACACTGTCCCCATGCGCAACGCAGTGCCAGGATTAACCAAATGTAGAAGCACAGCTGGAGGAAGAGACTGCAGCATCCGGCGACCGAACAACAGGAAAATTAGAGGAGATTCTAGACTACTAGGGACACAGCAGAGTCCCGGGGCTTCATATATGAACCTTCTACCGCAGAATTGTGAAGTTGGAAGGAGCCTATAAGGCCACTGAGCCCAACCTCCTGTTCAGTGCAGGAATACAAATCAAAGGATATCCGCCAGGTGGTGGTCTACATTTCTTTTGAAGGCCTCCGGTGTTGGGAGCGCTCCCCACCGCCTCTTGGGGCCATGGGTTCCCTTGCCGTACTGCTCTAACGGTTAGGAAGTTTTTCCTGATATTCCGTCAAAATCTGCCTTCCTGTAACATGAGCCCATTGTTGTGTGTCCTGCACTCTAGGATGATGGGGGCACAGATCTATGATGGTTACATTCCACAACAGGAGGAACAACTGGTCTATGAGCGGAAATGTTTTAGCGCCTCATTAGAAATACAGTGGTGCCCCGCATAGCGACGATAATCCGTTCCGAAAAAATCGTCGCTATACGGATTCATCACTATGCGGGGGAAAAAAGCCCATAGGAACGCATTAAAACACGTTTAATGCGTTCCTGTGGGCAAAAAACTCACCGTTATGTGAAGATCCTCCATGCGGCCGCCATTTTCGCTGCCCTGTAAGCGAGGAAAGAGTGCGAAAACACAGCGGGCGACCATATTTTAACCCGACGGCCATTTTGGAACTACTGATCAGCTGTTAGAAAAAACGTTGCGATGCGAAAATCAGTAAGCCATTAAAAACATCGTTATGCGATCGCTTTATTGTGATGCGAAAATCGGTAAGCCATTAAACACATCGTTATGCGATCGCTTTTGCGATCTAAAAAAACACATCGCTATGCGGATTCGTCATTAAACGAATTGCTCGTTATGCGGGGCACCACTGTATTCTAGCGACAAATATTCATAAGCTTTTCAACACAGTTAGGCATCTGCTCAGTGCAGTGGGACTCAGGTAAGGCCTCATAAGGTGGCTAGTTCTTGTACATCTAATCCACTGTGGTTTCAAGTATGTGTCAGTATGCTACCACACGTTACTCTAAGAGGCATATTTAGGATGGTGGGCCAGCACACATTTGATTGAATCATTAAGAACTGTTAATTATTCAGAGTGAGCTTGGTTGTAGTGTGAATCAGGGTGAATTTGATTTTATTGACTGAAATAAAAGAATTTGATTTTTAAATTTAAAAAATGGATTTTTATACCAAGAACTGATCATTTTTTAAATATCATATCTTTTTGACAATTTAAACTTTAAAAATCAATGAAAAAATAAATTGTGTTTTTTTTAAAATCCACCCTGTTGTAAACCAACCCTAAGGGCCCAGCCCAACATGGAATGATAACAGACTGGCATAGTTTTTAAAATCAGAATGACAGCATAAACATGAAGAGTTATCTTGCAATATGGAATAACCCTTTTTTCCTGTATCACCCAAACCATATTAAAGCTGGGACATGATTTTAAAGCGAACATTTATTCAATGTAAGTAAGAGACCTCTGGGTAGTGTGGGCGGCATATAAATTGAATAAGTAAATTGAATAAATAAATAAATAAATTTCTCCCAAAGCCTTAAATTGTAATCATGAAAGAAGAAATGCTCACATTTAAAACCAACAACACACCTTTAACCCCAATAATTTTAACTTCTACAGGCATGACCTTTACTGCAGCTCCTGCTTAAATTTCTGAGCTGTCACAAAATAAACCTGCAATCATCCCAAGGGGCCCATAATTCGAGACTAGCCAGGACTGCTTGGTTTGCACTTGCAGCCATTTGTGCTTGGTATCACAAACACCAATATGAAGGACTTAGGATTTAAGAGAAGATATAAAAGCACAGTTTTTTTGACTTTTGAGTCACAGACAAGCACAGCGTCTTTCCCTCTTGAAGCTTACTCAAAAACTTATTTAATTCTGAGCAAATTCTTCCCGGTTTAACTTGGATTGTGCTCAAAGGTCAAAAGCAGCACTCCCTTTATATTTAGGAAATGATTTATAAAATCGTCTTTTCCCTTCATGGATCCCCAGTTGCATTTGAAAAAAAAAAGCCAGAAAGAATCTGACATTGGATTTCTGGTGGCAGAAGATTGAAATCCACAAGAATTGGGAAGGGCTGCCCCCTCTTCCCTCTGCAGCCCCCTAGGAAGCACAAAAACCCCGGTTAGCTAAAAACCCTCCAAACATGGTTTTCAAGTAACCACAACGAGAAATATGTTTTGACAGGGCTGCCATGCCAACACAACACTGGGCCTAAACTGGGGCTTTTAGTCACAAATATGCAGCTGTTTTATTTTGTTCAAATGAACCACCTTAATATTCATCCCGTCCATGAAAGCCTTTGAGAATACCCCTTTGATATTTGTTTTATTTAGTCAATTTCTCTATTGCCCATCTGGCAACCCAGGCCATTCAGACATCATGCAAATGGAACTTTGTGGGGTTTGAAGTTATTAATGGGGGATAATTTAAGGCAGGTCTGAATGTTAGCTTTGGAAGTGGCTTTGAACTTCAGTGTCAACCTAATTACCTATTAAATGGCAGTCCTTCAATCTTATCTTTGTTTCCTGTCCATTTTCATGGAGATTGCACCCATTGCTTGGTTGTACTGGCGCCCATCTTTTTGAATTCTAGCCACTGAAGACGTACTTCTAGGACCTACTAAACACAATGTAACTTGGTTCCAACCTAATATGAACAGAACAGTCTTTTATCCGCCCCTGAAAATGAGGTTTTCCTGTCACCAGACATATCTTTAAACCAACATCTTCACCTCAACACTATCCACCACCACACACTAGAACATATGTGGCCCAAGGGTTCTCTCAACTTCTAAGAGCCAACAAAGTTAAATCTCAACTTATTCAAAGCTCCCGCAATACCCTTCCCCCCTTTACTTCTGGAAAATCACTCCATAGGCAAATAAGATTTGCTGAAAAATGTAAGATCTCCTAAAAACAAGCATGCAAATACTATTCTGTCTCCCACACTCAAATATAACAGGAGAGCTGCACTGTATAATTGTTTTATTTTCTGCTTATTAGTTCTTTTACCAACACTACAACCATAATGCAGACACAAAATTCCTGTTTACTTTATTCAGGGAAATCACAGTCTACAGACTCATTCACTTATCAGACAATTTTAACGCCATTCAAAAACGTATTCAGTTTCACTGTATAGTCACATGAACACAGACTTTGGATGTACTGATTTCTTTTTCAGAAGTGGAATTCTAACAGCTTGCATTTGTACTTTGCAAACTGTAGATACATGTCTAAAGCCATTGTTTTAATGGCTACTTTGAGCCAGAAAAAAAGAGACAAAACCATGTTTGCTTGAAAGAGGACACTTAATGAAAACATGTGTAATGTTTTTTTTCAGCAGCAATAATTATTTGGTGCATTTCCCACACAATCCATTCACCTTTGTGACTTCCACCCAAAACTGGAGATTTTAAAACAAAGTCAAGATTATACTTATCCTTTTAACCTACAAAACCAGCATACTGTAAAAACAAAATTAAAAGAATGTACAAACATTATGTATCTAAGTTAATGCAGGTGTATGATTTGATTCCGCCTTGGTAAGAGAAAATATACAACAACTCTACACCAAAGGTAAAATGACTGTAGTTAATAAGGTTTATGCAAAAGTTCGAGAACCAGTAACAGATCTTCAAGTTTTCCAGTTTAGGCAACTATTTTGTGCTTGGCTTTAGTTATTCCAGAAGAAGACAGCTAACTGTTTATGTACTTTTCGTGTAACCACTACTACCAATGCTGCAGAAAAAATAATAAAATCTAAATTCCAAATTTATTTTGGATATAACCAACATAGTTTAGTTGTTTTTTCTCAAATTTATGCTATCTCAGCAGAATTGTTTCTGTACTTCTTATTGATTTTAATTTTACTGCTCTGACCCCAAGATTTAAAGTGAATGTTCCCATTCAATTTGGGGGAATTAAGAAAAATCAAATAAATGTAGAATAGATCTATCAAGAATCAGAGCTAAACTTGTTTTCTGTTACATAATGCTAAGTGTTCAGTTTTAAGAAATTAATTACTCATTAATTTATTCCCCTCAAACATCTTTGGTACAAGCTCAAATGTCCACGATTTAAATAGCAAAGTCAACACTGGAGAAGTGTAGTATAATGCCCCAATTTTTTTTAAACTCATACCCTTTAGAAAAAAGCAATTTTCTTCTGGTTTTGTAGCAATACATTCCAAAAATTCCTCAGATGAGCTTTACTCCTTGAGGAAATCCAAAATTAATCCTTAAGGCTGAATAAGAACCAGCTGCTCTACATTTTTGCACCCAGTATCATTAATACTCGATTGAGATCATTTTATGTTAGTCTGAATTCACTATCAACATCCCCCCCCCAATACAACTAGTCAGACATTTGAAAGCTGTGATATGGTAAAATGAAACACTTGTCCTTAAAGAACAGAATGTGGAAGTTTACATTCAGTGTCGATTGCTCACTCTCCACCTCAATCACTGGTTACCTACCTGAAGGGCTTTATATAGTTTTATTAGACATCAAATAAAGATCCTGTCACAACAATGGCTGGAATTCGCCTGCTACTATTTGCCTGAATTAAGTATATATATATTTTTTGTAAGAGACAAACGTAAAATTGAGAGATTCAGGGGCTTCTCTCAAGCTCAGCAGCGTCTGCAAAACCAAGTTATCACATTTTTCTTTATTGAGGCATCTCAATAAAACCTACGAAATGATTCAGAAGCAGATGTAGGTTGCTTTCACTTCTTCAAGTTAATAAAGGTGTATCTTAGAAGCCAAGATGAAAGTCTAAAAGTATTTTACCTGCATTTTAAGAACTTGTATGTAGACTAACTGCAATACTGCTACCGCTGTCTCAACTGTTAAGACAACAACAGTTTCAAAGATTCTGGACAATAAGCTTATGACTTTAAAAAGCAAACCATGTGACACAGTGATGCTCACAAATTATTGCTGCACTTCGTGGAATGTAAGTACTTTTGCACTAAACCCAAGAAATAATACAATTACTCAGTATTGCAGCTGAAAAACTAATTTTGCAATGCAACGTATAGGAACTTTGTTTTCATATCAGTCTCATTTCAACTTGCACATGGTTATTCTTTATAAAGGGGGCTAGTCTGTATCCTTAGCTATGCATCATATTTGCTCTATAACAACCTATACCCAACATTCTGAAATTGTTCTCACATGAGCTTCAAAAAGTTACTTTACTGGACTATGGCTCCCAAAAATACTCCAGCCAGCATGGCTAGAGGCTATGCTAGCTTGTGATTTAGGGAGCAGTACTTTAAAAAAACTTAACTTTCGCAAGTTCTTGTTCTTATATGACCTGGCCAATGTCAAGCCGGTAAACAATGATAAATTTGTTCTAAAAGTTATTTTTCTCATTTATCAACAGCCAGATAAAGGAGATCAAGATTTTAGTCCCTTTTTTATCTTGTAGGTAAAGTTTCATCAGAAAGAGGACAGACTGCAGCTTGTTCATAAACAATGTTTTTTTCAGTTTACTACATAGCAGAGACCTACCAACATATTTCCCATGGTTGCAAAAAGAAGCCAATCTACAGCAGATGGTAATGGAAAGGAGAGGGGGGAAAAAACGAACCAGAAAACATACTTTTTAGAAAGTGATACCTTAGCCCCAGGACTGAAACAAATGAAGTCAACCCATCATAACAAGGACTCTCAAAATAGAAGGGAAAAAATGCTTTGCAAAGCTACAACACCCCCACCATGTAGCTGGAAGTTTGCTATAGAAACTAATGTTTGTGTTCATTCACAGTTGAAGATCAGAGCCTCTTAACATCAAGCAAGAATTGTATTAAACTGAGGATCCAGTCAAGTGTATAGATGAAAAAGGTGGTGGTAACTGGAGGTGAGCAATCATTAAAATCCTACAGATGCTTAATTTTTGAACAGAGAATTTTAGTACAGAGAATCATTCTTTTTTTGGGAAGCCACAGTGTTTCTTTTCCGCTCTAAACTCTTGTGGAGACTAACAACAGTTTGTAATTTTAAAAAAACCACACCCATCATTAGGATTTATAGTTAGATGTTAACCATGTCAGCCCTTCATAGAGTCCATCACCCGAGGTGGCACAGGATGGCTGAACATACCAATTCCTATCCCGGATGCGGGTCAGGCCCAGTTTCTCTTGGATCTCATGAGGCTTCATGGCATCAGGAAGGTCCTGCTTGTTGGCAAAAATGAGGATGATCGCATCCCTCATCTCCCGGTCATTGATGATGCGGTGCAACTCCTGACGGGCCTCATCGATGCGGTCCCGGTCGGCGCAGTCCACCACAAAGATCAGGCCCTGAGTGCCCGTGTAGTAATGCCGCCAGAGGGGCCGGATCTTGTCCTGGCCCCCGACATCCCACACGTTAAACTTGACGTTTTTGTAAGTCACGGTTTCCACGTTGAAGCCCACCGTGGGGATGGTGGTGACCGCCTGGCCCAGCTTCAGTTTGTACAAAATGGTGGTCTTGCCCGCCGCGTCCAGGCCCAGCATCAGGATCCGCATCTCCTTGTTGCCAAAGATCTTGGACAGCACCTTGCCCATGATGACGGCGGGGGCGGGAGGGGGCCCGGCATCCACCAGGAGACGGAGAAAGGGGTGGGTGTCGCCGCCGCACCCACTGCCACCACCACCACCACCACCACCACCGCTCGGCGGCCCAAAATCCCCCTTGCAGGGAGGGCACCAGGGGTGGAAACAAGAGTCACAGCCACCAGAGCAATAATAAAGGAGCCCCGGGGTTTAATGGCTGAACCAGAGAGACCCGTCTACAAAGAAATGAAGTTGTTTTCCTTTAGCTCAACAGGGAAGGCACCCAGGAGACACAGCTCCATGTATGTGCAACGCTCTGATTTATACAGCTGCTATGACTCCTGAAAGGTTATGTGTTGCTTTCTTTTTTGAACTGAGAAGAGGCCAGCACATTGGTTAGGTATTTCATTTCTATTTTATACCAGCAATCAGTTAGTACTTGGAATACTGGAAGTCTTTCTCCATTTGAAATCTGTTGTCTTAGAGATGTTACAGATTCAATTCCATATCTTTGAATAAGCTGCCTTTTAAAAAGCCTGTTCATTGCTTATGATTACATATAAATCACCCCAATAGTAACAAAAAAGGATTCCATGAGCTGACTCAACCTTTGGAATAATCATCACAGCCTTTCTTATAAACTAGTGGATTTGACACACTTATGCTATGAGTCTTCTAATTTGTTTCCTCCTTCCCTACCAATAAGCACAACATTTATACACACTGATATATAAATTATAATGATACAGATGCAGGAGTAGGTGATACCTTTAATTCCGCTCGCTCTCTCCGTCCGCCCGCCTTGCTGCCTGCCTGCCGGCCCGCCTCGCTCTTTTTCCCCTCAGAAAAACTCCCTGCCTTGCTTGACTGGCTCGCGCTGGCCCGCCGCAGCGCGCATGCGCGCAGCTCGCCCGACGGCTGATGTCGAAAGACACCCCGCCTCTACTGGGGGGGGGAGGAAAGGAAGAAGAAATAGGAGGCGCGGTGCGCAGGCGCTCGACGCCGCGCCTTCGCTGGGGAAATGAGCATGCGCAGAGCCAACGGGGCACCGAGGAGGACGGGAGGATAACCCGATAGTAGTGCGCATGCGGAATAGAGTGCGCGGGCTCGGGCCCTCTTGCTCGTACCGGCTTCGCTTGCGCATGCGTAGAAGTTGGCGATACTCTTCTTTTAGCGCGTAAAAGTAGCACCACCCATGGCGAACCCATCGGCACATGCGCCCTCTCGGCTTGGCGCAGCCTCACTCCCAACCAAAGCAAGAAGAATGGATTCCCCCACTGCATTTGCCTCAATTGCCCGATGTCGGGTGCGCAGGCGCAATGGTGTTCTCTCTGAACAGGCCATCCTACTGCGCATGCTCAGTAATGAAGCCTTTGCCCTGAGTCTAGCGGCACAACCTTGATTCTCCAGGCGTTCGTGGACTGCAATTCCCAGAGGCCCTTGCGCGCACCCAGGAACGGGAAAGGCGTGTAGCTGATTGCTCGGCTAGAGACCGCCCCGAAGTACGTCATCCTCTGTAAAGACGGGCTTGCCTTTACTTAAAGGGCTCGCAGGCCTATTTCACACGCTAGCAAGGTTATGCTCAAAACCCTACAGTACAGTACAAGGCTTGTTGTTTAGTCGTTGTGTTTGACAAGAGTCAACTCCGTCAGAGTTGTCAGCTGCAGCAGGAGAGGAAGGGAGTGGTCCTGAGGGACTAGCTAGGCGGGATATAAATAAAATAAATAAAATAATAAATAAAAAGCAGAAGCAAGTTGGGTGAGGTTGTCCAGGTAGGAAGAACAGCTGAAGGAACAGAAAGCAAACTAGAGTTTTTTTGGGTGCAACCTTTGACATTCTGCTCAGACTCGTCCCATCGGCATCGCAATTCAAGGATGAGAACCAGAAAGAAGCATGATAAAGACTAACCAGTTTGTGCTTCAGACATAACAATAAACGATGGTTTATTGAAAACAGAAGCAAAAGATTCTAACTTCTTTCTTTCAAACATGCCAGTAAGGGAAGAAAGCAACACATGAATAAATCTCAGTCTCGACTGGAGATGGAAATGTTCATATTCATATGCCAGGTGATATAAATTTTGCCACCACAGATGGCCCGGCCTTTTCGACACCCCCCCCCCGAACTTGCTGGTCCACTTCCTACTAGCCATGTGTGGACGGCTATGGCCACTTGCTCTGGACCAATGGCAGAAGCAGCCCGGCTGGCACTTCCCTGCCTCCCTGCGCAGATGACCGCTCAGCAGCTGAGCTGAGAGACTCATCATCTCACCGTCCATGGCCCGGCGGGAACGAGACCCAGCAGTGGCCCGGGCCGCCGCATCCCTTTCCCGGTACACTACATTCCTGTAAAGTAAAAGTTGCGAAGTTCCCTGACCCCCCCTGCTCTAACCATTGGGGCGAAAGAGCTACAAAGAAGCAGCCGCTTCGCCACCAGCGATTAGTATATTTCAATTTCCCGCCCCTTTCCCCTGCCTTTTTCTGTTCGTAATTCAAAGCACCATTCGCAAGTCAAAGCAAAATTTTGCTAACGGTGCTGTTCGTAACTCAAAACGTTTGTAGGTCAAGGCGTCCGTAAGTCACCGCACCACTGTCATTGGATAAAATTAATTCCAAGGGCTTATTGTTTTTGGTGAACTCTTCTGACAGCATGTGGCGGCTGCGATGTCGTTTTTTCAAGCAGTTCTATTAGCCAAGGGAGAGCCTGATCATCGCTGATGTCCAGAGGTTCACAAGAAGGCAGTGTGTGTGTGTGTGGGGGGTGTGTCTGGATAAAAGCTACTCTGGGGCAGGCCCCTCTCCGTCTGTAAGATAGCCAAGCTCCCTAGATTTCTATCCCACCTCATCCAAGGAGTTTGGAGGACGCAGGTGCAGGAAGGCCTTATGCCTCCTGCCTCGGCCACCAGTCCTGCACGGCTCCCAAGAGGCCGACCTGACCAACGTCCAATGGAAAGACATGTTCCCTGGGCGTGAAGCCGCCGTCCTTCTGGCCCTGTCTTCTTCTTGGAGCTGGACCGAACACAGGTGTCCTAACGGTGTAGGTGCCTCTGCAAACGCGGAGAGACTAAGGCTCCGAAGGAAGGAGACCCCCTGCTTCTTGCAACGGGAACCTCCTCGTGTCCCCAAGGGCTATGGCAAAACAGCCGTAGTCTAAAAAGAGTGAAGATGCCCACCTTCCCTTCATCCACCTCCAAAATCATAAAACAATAAGATTTAAACTTCCTTTTCCCCCTTGGGCCCCCACTCTTCCCCCTCCTCCCCTCCCCTAACTCAACACTCTTCCTCCCCTCCCCCCTTTTCCTCCTTCCTTCCTCTCCCCCCCCATTTTAATTTTACTCCCTCTGGTCCATGGAGGATTTGCCAGAAGGAAGGAACCGGAGGGTGGTGGTGGTGAGTGTCTCCTCGGAGGAAAAAAAGAGCACAATCTCCCCCTCACTGCGGGGGCCCTGCTGCCTTGCATGGAGGGGGTGTGTCACCCCATGGTTTCCAAGGGTAGGGTCCTGGCCCCCCTCCCTTTTGAATCTCCCCATGGAGGAAACATCCCCTTTCTTCAGCTCGCATAGCAAAAACAAACTTTACAAAGGACTCTACGAATAACTGTCTCCTTCCACACTTCTAACTGTTGCAGCAGAACACATTGCGAAACTCTGAAAATACCTCCAGCAAAAGACGTCATGTTAGAACTTCAAGAAGCCATAATAATAGCTGTTTGATGCTACTGTCAAACCCCTGGTCTTCCAGAGAAGAGCACTGCAATGTCTTGGATATAAAATTCCAGATATAACAGTGGCAGATATCACTCCAAATGTATCTACTATGATATACAGTGCTGCCCCGCATAGCGACGTTAATCCGTTCCAGGAAAAACGTCGCTATGTGGATTCGTCGCTATGCGGGGCAGAAAACCCCATAAGAACGCATTAAAACACATTTAATGCGTTCTTATGGGGGATAAACTCACCGTTATGCGAAGATCCCTCATGCGGCCGCCATTTTCGCGCCCTCGGTAAGCGAGGGCAGGGCATGAAAACGGAGCAGGCGGCCATTTTCTTTACCCGGTGGCCATTTTGGAACCGCCGATCAGCTGTTTTTAAAAAATCGCTATGCGAAAATTGGTAAGCGAAACGCTTACCAATCGTCGCAAAGCAATTTTTGGCCATTGGAAACATCGGATTCATCGTTAAACGGTGCGCTAAACGGTAGTTAGAACTAGCACGTTACAGTACAAAGAGCTTCGGACTCGGACTCAGGAGGCCTATATTCAAATATCCACTAGACCACCTGAGATGTTATGTAGTTCTGGAACTACAGAAAAATTTGATATAAAACAAATTGATTAACGTCATATAAATTACAATTTAAATCGCTATTTGAAAAGACTTGGTTTAACTGTGATATCCCCTCAAAAAAATTTTTTTCTTGCTATAACTTTAATACACATTTTTCATAATACTTATTTCTCACAATCTCCCTGAGATTGAATTTATACCCTGCCCCTCTACTCATTCTGAAGAACTCTGCATCACTTGGAGAATTTACTGAACACCATCTTGGATTTTCCAGAATTTCCAATATTTTATGTTGAGAAGCAAAAAGAAGGACTGCAGATTTTTCTAATTGTATCTACTAGCCTGCATAACAGGGAAGACAAAAATTAACCCCCAAAATCTGTTAAAAAGTCTATGGGAGTGGACAAAATTTTGATTCCCCAAGAAAGAACTTTGAATTCTATTTAGAAAACATTTTAAAGCTTGTAAGCTTAAATTGCTTTATAATACAGAATTGTAATTTACAATCCCGGTTCCATAATACAGAAGACATTTTGAATTAAAGTTATCGTCATTTAAAGCTTTTAAACAAAAAGCATTTTAACAGTAAAACATTTAAAAATCCGATTTAAGCAAAAAACCCTTTAAAACCATTGATTTTTATTCACTTTGTACAGGAGTCATTCAGCTGTTCAGAGAAGCAGTCAGTAGTAAGATATTGAGAAGGATAATTAAAAATAAAGTGTTGTTGGTGAAAAGGAGACAAAAAGTCCAGAAAGGTAAAGGTTCCCCTTGACAATTTGTCCAGTCGTGTCCGACTGTGTTTGGGGGGTGCTCATCTCCGTTTCCAACCCATAGAGCTAGCATTTGTCCGAAGACCGTTTCCGTGGTCATGTAGTCATGGCGACTAGGCAAGGAATGCCCTTCCCTTCCCAC